CAACAAAAGATTTAAAACTCATTTAACTTATATCACAAGGGGTGGGTGTGTATGTAGCCTTTGGTGTGTGACTGTGGTGAATCGTATCCGTGGATACGCTTTAGCCAGCGTGGCGAAGTAATAAGAATTGTGAATTGAATACTGTGTACTACAAACTATAAACTTTGAACTGAACTATAACGTATTCATGTGGTAGAGGAGATCTTTACTACTCTCATTGATACCGGCAAAAATGGCATCGCGTGGTGATATTATTTTATAGGATATAAGCCGATATGAATTAATAAGAAGTCGTGTGTAACGTTTATGATACTAAAACACTAAATTAGTATCTACTGAACTGCTTACTGTCTACATAGTGATACTGAGTACTAAATGATCCTATTTATTGCATTATTTATGCCCTAAGTTATGATACTAAAATAATAAATTCTGAATGTTTACTAAATAAACTGATTTGTAAGATTTAGTTAATGGATTAGGGTATAGATATTATGTATTTTTTAAATTAAAGAAAAGTATTTTGAACCATCTCTGATGACAATTTTATGTTTTCTACTAATTTGGACAAATTATCCTATTATTTGTTGGTTACTTACATACTTACTGAGCATATTAAACTCACCCTATTTATTATTCATTTCTTCTAAATCAGAATATTTAGAACACCGCTCTTGAATAGTGAAAAACTTACTAGGAGATCGTTCAATTTTTATTTTAATTCGAATAGTACTTAATGTTAATCATTTAGTTTTAGTAAGTATTTACTTTAAAGTTTAGACATGTCTTACAGATATTGGGTAGTTTAAGCTAAATATGTAAGGGATATACTTTTTGTTATTTTAAAATTGTTGCTTGAAGTATTACTATAGATTATTTTATCATGATATGGTGTGCGTACGGTCAGAACTCTGGATGGGAGTTCGGATTGTCACATTGTAAAACTCATGTACAATAGAGATTTAAATTTAATTTAAGCATACATTTTGTCCTTTTATTTTTACAAGGTATATAAATTATTATTAGAAAAATACAATGCAAAGATTGGTTGACCTCAATAGCTAATAACAAAATATTTGGTGCAAACAATAAATGGAAGAATATGATAACATGAGAGCAAAATTATAAAGATGCTCGAGACTCCTCCAAGGAGACCTAACACCATAAGCGATTCACTATCCAGACACCTAAAAGTAATAATATTGTGTTGAAGTCATAATAATTTTGGCCAAAATTTTCTAATGCATACAAAGAAGTTAGGATACGTAAAAGATCATAAATTGATAAAAAGTGATACATGAAATAATATATAGCAAAGATATTACTTAAGCTGACAAGCACTTAGAAAAAAAGTATGGCAGTTTTTTTATGGTTGTGTTTCTTCTAATAGATACCAAACTAACGAGTGCATAAGCAGTTAGCACCAACATATGCGAAAACAAGACCACACAATTAAAGAGTACATGAAAAATCTAAAGGTTGCAAAACCTAGTATGAATAGGCCATTTACAAAGTCATATTATTCATCTCTCTTGATACAAGATAAATACGAAATTTGAAAAATTCATTTCTAATAATAATTCATTTAAAATTTAAAAAAATATATATCACACATAAAATTAAATTTAGGAAAATGGTAGAAAGAAAGTACCCAATTTGAAATGCAATAATTTGTTGAAATTTTAAAAATAAAAACTCAAAAAGAGAAAAAGATGGGCAGACATTTGGGTTGCTGCATTGGCCCAAATGAACAGTACCACCCCAAAAGAAGAAGGAAAAACGAAGACTTGACCCGGTTAACAGCGTCCTTCTCTTTGCTTCAGGTCCTGAAATATCAAAAACCATCAAACTCATATCCGATCATCAATCCATTCTCAAGGGAAAAAAGATTTTCATCATTCAATCAACCAAAACTGGGATCATCTTCTGTAGAAAAGTAGTTGTCTTTGTCCATCTATAGGGTTTAAAACACAGAGAAAGAGAGATGGAGAAGGTGATGAATATCATAAAGCCAAAGCCAAACCCACAACAGCAGCTGAGAGATTGGCAGCGTAGACTTCGCCAAGAGTGCCGCAACATTGAACGCCAGATCCGAGGTAATTTCATCTATTTTGTTTTTAGTTTCTCCTTTTCATCAAAACCTATTTGGTTTTTTTTTTTTTTTTTTGGGTAAAGAAATCTATGTTTGTGAGTAATCCGGAGAAGTATATGACAGATATGCTTGATTTACGTTTCTATTTGATGGTTTTGTTCAGATATCCAGAGAGAAGAAAGAAACGTACAGAAAGCTATTAAGGATGCTGCCAAGAGAAACGACATGGGCTCTGCCAAGGTATCATATCAATTGTTAGGTCTGGTATTTTTTCTGGTTAACTAATTGCTGAGATTTTCTTTCAGGTACCTCGATTGAATTTCCGTTTCTTTTAACTTATTTTGAAATTTCACCATGCTTTACCGTTACTTGATTTCAACCACATGAACTAGATGTTAGAGAGTATGAGCGAAATTTGTGATTAAGTTTTAATCTCCTCAACTAGAAGATTAAGTGAATTATTTTCATGAAATTGTCATGGATACTCGTTAGTGCTTGTATACTAGGTGAAAGTTTAATTTTGTTTCTCTGAATAGCTATCGTGAATTAGGTTAAGATGGTTGCTAGAGGTGTTGTTTGGAAACGGAATTGGCATGCTTTAAGTCTTATGTGAAGCATGTTGAATTCTGTTTTAATTTTTTGATCTGCTTTTAGTTGTTTACTATTTTTTGTTTAGTTATACATAATAAACAGACTTGGGTGCTTCATTTAATTTGTAATTTTTTAAGAACAATAATACTACATGATGAGCGATTTTTGGTGTTAGTGAGCCACAAACCAATGCAAAGGTCTAGTCTTACTGATTTCTGATTAGAAACTCAGAATGGGGCAGAGGTAGGAAAAGGGAAGACACGTTCATAGGGATTCTCCATCAAGAGACACGGACTGAAAGGGGAAAAGACCTGGGTTTTTTATGCTTCAGTATTCTTTCGCAATCACCTCTCCTTTGAAATATGGCCAGTTATTTAGGAATATCATTTTCCTATCCTTACATCTAATAGTTGTAGATTGTGACTGTTGTCTAATATCATTCTCCTTTAGTTTACTTTGTTCTAAGTATTAGCTTATAGCTTGCATATTGACTATTATGGTCTAATCTCCACAATTACAATCAAATGAATGTCAGGTAATTATGTTGTATTTGTTTTCTTTACTGAGGGGTTAAAGTCAAAGAAATAAGGCCAAGTAGTTCAGATGAAACAGCACTCCTTTACTAAAGTTTGGTTATTCAAACACATTCTATCTAAAAAAATTCAAACCAACAAGATGCACATGGCTCAAATTTGCATTTGACTAGAGTAATCTAGCACATTGGACAGGGAATGAATGCATCTATATTCTAAATAATATCATAGGGGATTGGTAATGTGGTTCTTATTTTCATAATAAGATAGGAAAGAGAAGAAAAAGATTTGAGCCTTCTTTTCTTACCTCTTTGATTCATTTCTCTTGTTCTGTAATCTATTTCAGGCACTTGCTAAAGAAATTGTGCAGTCAAGAAAAACAGTTAATCGTCTTCATGAAAATAAGGCACAACTGAATTCAATATCAATGCACCTTGGAGAAAGTGTTGGTATGATGCTTCATTATCTATGTTTATTGACTACCTTTTCCTATATTACCATGCATTTATTGTAAGTCCTACTTGTGAACTTGCGAGCACCTATCTTTAATATGGAATGACTACATTCTGGAAGTGTAACAGCCTATTCTTTCATGCTAGGAGAAATTCCCAAAGGAGAATCAAACAAAAGAATAAAATTAATTACATCAGTTTGACATTCTTGTTTGTGCTCAAAAAGATTGACAGGGAGGTATTGCAGTTTTTCTTCTTTGTGTTATATCGATGGTTCAGGACGGGAGAAAATATAGAAGCTGCTGAATATAGGACGAAGGGTGCTTTTCTATTTTTTTAATCAACAAGACCTCTTAGTAGAAGGGAATGACTATACATTATGTTCCAAATATGAATGACGAAAATCAGTATTTGGATTATTCATGGCTTCAACAAGGATATTGTAGCGATGAACCTTAAGAAACAAGGGACTAAATAAAGAGGTGAATTCGTACAAGTGTCATTGAATATAGGCAGTAGTTGTTTGGAACAATAGAAGTATCCCAGTTGTTGAATAACTTATCAAGGGGAAAGAATTCTTTGGTAGAGTGCTCTAAGCTATTGGTGGAGACGGCCGAATGTCTGTTGCAGATGTAGTGATTGGCTAAGCAATTACATGTGGTCCATAATTTGACATGATGCTTGATGACTTCTGGCTTGATAGGTGATTAGTTGGTCTCCTATGATAATGCAAAGTGATCAACCTAGAGGCATTGTATGATAGGTCATGCCATGCCACCAATCTTGACCAAGCAGTGATGGCACCCATGGCATGTGGCATCAGCATTGCTGACCAGCGTGCTAGCTGGGCTTGGCATTTGATGCTAGCAACTCTGGCCAAGAGATGCTACCATTATTTGTTTTTCCCTCTTTCTTTTGATAATTTTGTTTTTTAATTAATATTTTAAAATAAGCTCTAAAATTTTGAGAAATAATTTTATATTTATTACTTCTACGATATTTTAATAATTCCAGTAAATATTTTTATACAATTATAAATGATTGGAAATACATGTTTTCTAGCATATATTTTAAAATTATAATTATATTCTATTAGAAAGTGAACATAGAAAGTAATATAATATGTTGGGGTCTTTTAGCATATTAATCTTAGTTCCAATATGCCAAACAAACAGTAAAAGATTCTTATTCCATTATGCCAAGTAACTTTAATATGACCATTTTCCATTGTAATACTTATTCTATTTGATTCTCACTCCATTTAGCAAACCAAATATTCTGTAAATAGTACTACTTTTGGTTATTTTCAGATGGATAACTTGTCTTTAAACAGTTTTTTTCTTAAAGTTATCCTTCTCGATATTTTAAATTTTCCAAATTTTATTCAACAACTTAGATTGGTTGATTATTGCAGCAATTGCTCGTACAGTTGGACATCTGTCCAAAAGTGCTGAGGTCATGAAACTCGTCAATAATCTCATGAAGGCTCCAGAGGTGGCTGTCACAATGCAAGAATTCAGTAAAGAAATGACCAAGGTACCATGACCACTAATTTTTAAATGACGATGATCTCTCTTCTACATATTATATTGAGCACAAGGCACAGGAAGAGAGATGATTTGGAAACAATAATTCTAATTATGGAAATAAGCTTTTGGAATATGGTTTTTAAAAGTAAATGATCAACATATTCTTTACTAAACAACTACTATCTTTTTCACATTTGTAATTTGTAGGCCGGAGTAATTGAGGAATTTGTGAATGATGCTGTTGATACAGCACTTGATTCTGAGGATATAGAAGAGGAGATAGAAGAAGAAGTTGATAAGGTATTGACTGCAATAGCAGGTGAGACTGCTGCAGAGCTACCAGAGGCAGTCAGGAGGGAAAGAGTTAAGCAGCCTGCTCAGAGAGCAGGACCTGCCCAAGAGGTATGTTGATATCTAGTGGTTTGCTTCCATTTGGTGTTACTCTTAAACTGATTTTGGACCAAGATGAAAGAGTGTGTATTGATTTGACTCTCCAGCAAGAAGCCATACCTGAAGGGGTTGATGATGAGGAAGAACTAGAAGAATTAAGGGCCCGACTTGCGAAAGTCAGGTCCTAACTTGCGCTACTCGGTTTTATCTTTTCCCTTTGCATGAGAGAAGGGGTGAGTATGTTAACTTGTATATCCAACGATGTTGGATTAACAGTGCTGAAGTAACATTGAGAATGAGATAAAGAAAAATGCCTGTATGATAATGAAAGCAGCATTTTATGTAGACTAACAAGCTATATTTGTGCAATATCTTAGCTGAAAACATTGTTATTGATTTCAGAAAGTTATTGATTAGCTTTTCCCCTGGTACAGACCTGTACTTGTAAGCCGAACTTTAATTTAACAACTTGCAAAAACAAATATTTTCTGGGTCTTAAAATCAAATCACCCTAATCACACGAACTGACAAAACTTTTTACCCTTTGTTCTTGAAGCTTTCTCCATTTTTACGTTCTCCTCAATATCTTCAAAGTCTCATTCATATTTTTTGAACATTTGTTACTCTCGGTTTCTCAATAACCTAGACAATAAAACATTAGTATAAAATTGAAGTATTGCCGGCAAATCATTAAAATCAACTAATATAGTTTAGTTGTATTTTCTATTCAACAAATTGAGAATGTCACTAATATAAATAGCTAATAAAGTTTATTTCTTATTATTAATAGATAGTTTTAATTTTAAATTTTTTGAAAAAAAAAAAATGAAGTGTTAAGAAACATATCATATGGAGGGGTGTTTCCATATGGCATTAAATTTAATTTTTTGAAATAAACATTACAGACCCAACTATACATATACATATATACTCTTTCCTTAATATCTAAATTTGTATAGCTTATCCTTAACCATAACATGTCTGTACTCTCTTTTTTAAGCCGTCACTAAAGCTAGAAGCTTTCTAATTACTTCTTTCATCTATTTATAAACTTCAACCAACTGCCTAAAGATTTTATCATTTATGCCTTTCTTTACTAATAATATGCAGCCAAAATATACTATGATATGCAAAAATTGGATATATATATATATATATATATATTATAGCCATACTCATATGTGGGGTGTGAATCATCCAAAATATGAATATGTACATAAAGTAAACATGTAAATGCAAAAACTCATAATGACACTTGTCGTTTAATACGTGGCTTGTAATTCAAGATCTTGCCTTTCACACATTTTATAATATGTACATATCAACAGGGTGTTCGGGTTAGCTTAAAATACATGGTTTTGTGAGTTGTATAATTTATAAGTTTCTCAATATTCTATAAAATAAAATTAAAAAAAAAAATACTTAATTTAAGTAAAAGGAATTAGGATTATGTTTGAGTTGTGATTGGGTCCGAAGATGAATAAATTTGTACAAACTCAACTGAGTAAATATATATAGTATTACATTATGTCGACTTTTACTTACAACATAAATATAAATACCCTATCCCTTCTCCACTATTATTCGACACTCAAAAGCAATTGTTGCAAGAAGGTATTCTCATTTGCTAATGAGAGTTTTAGCTAAAATTCAATGACAAATTATTTTCAGAAAAGGCTGCCAATGTTTTCTTAAAGCAAATGATACATTAGAATGAAATGTATGATTAACCAATATTTATTAAAAAAAAAGTCAAAAACAAAAATTAGTTTGATCCTCTTATATTTCTTTTCCAAACCAAGAGATCTATTAATAAAGATACTAATGCATGTAGATATGAATTGGAAGTGAATATATGTCTATATTTATATTTATATTTTTGTTTATTACACGAATTTGTTGATTGAGATTCTTTTAAAAGAACAAGATTTCTTGTATAAGCAATCTTTGTAAACCTGTTTCAGATTTAAAAATAAATTATATATATTTTTTTAATTCATAATAAATTTTTATAAAATTCAGCTTATTTTTATTTATGATTTTACGAATCATTAATTTATTTACATATTTTTAAAAATATATATATAATTTATAAGTTAGTAGTTTGTAAGTAAATGACATTAACAAATATTTAAGGAAAAAATAAATTACTCTCTCTAAGATGTCTTAATCGTGGTTCATGGAGTCATAATATGTCTAGCTTTGACTTTAGTGTTTGTATAAGCAATAGTTCTCTTTAATTTAATATACTTTATATTATTATTCTCCTAGTGTTCTTAATACAATTATTATTATTATTATTATTTTGGAAGAGATTATGTGTACTAATGTTATCATTATATGAAGATAAGTTTTGTTTAGTGGAAATTATTTAGTAGAAAAATTACTAAAATTAAAATATAAATATTATCGTAAGAAAATTTGTGTAGGAAGGAGATGAATGAATGCTGCTGTGACGTCTGTCCAGAACAAGCCTGGGAGTGTAAGTCGTCATGCATGCACTGGGGTCCACGTCATTTGGTTCTCCTTTTAACTATTATGCTTTTAAGCTACTTATATGTCTTGCACGCAACTTTCTTCCCACTTGACAATTATATTTATTATTAAATACTGTTAGATATTAATTTTCTAAAATATTATGAATGTATTTAATATGTAACTCGTTATAACTAATTAATATTTTTTATTTGCTTCTCTTAAAAGCAAATTTTGTTATTTTGAGAAAGCAACTATATACACATATATATATATATATTTCAATTAAAAAATTTTAGAAAATAAACAACAATTTTTTGGAGAAAAATACTTCTTTGAAAAAAAATAATAATAAATACATAACTCTAACTGCTCAAAAGAAAAAGGTAATTTCTTTTTCTTTGCTTTTGCTGTCCATTATACACACACACACACACACATATATGAGGGAACGTGTTAAAAATTAGTGACCTTTTTGAAAAATCTCTTTAAAATAATTTTTACTAACATCACCCTCAACTTTAGAATTATTATAATATAATGTTTGGTAAATTTTGTAAATATATATATTTAAAACATAAAATGCAGTATTATAATTAATTATTAATAAATTTTATTTCTATTTGTGGGTATTTTTTTATTTTTAACATTTTACAATAAACACATTAAATTTTTTAAATATTGGGCAGTATTATTTTCAAATTAGCTAGTCAAAATGTGTAGACAATCATATATTTAGCTGGAAAAGTATTTCCTAATTTTGAATTGATCTATTCCAGAATAGGAGTCAGCTATCTATAAATAAAGGAATTAAATGACATGGAATTTATATACATATATTATCGTACATCGTATGAAAATGTACAGTACACAGATTACTTTGCAAGGCAGCATATGTTGGTGTGTTTAGATTAGTCAATGGTGAATATGAAGATATATATATATATGTAAATATTTAAAATAAAACTTATAATATATATACATACATATCTGGCTAATTTATTGGAAGATTTAATTTAATATCTATCTGATTAAGCCTAACGTATATTTTTTTAGTTACTACCAGCCATGCCATTGAGATTCAAATCTTTTTAAAGAATATTTTTAAATCTTTGGTGATTTCATATATTTTCAGATTCAAATTTCTCAAGAAAGAAATAATTAATTAGTACAAAAATGGAGAAAACAAAATAAATTGGTAATTAAAGATATGTCACGGCTTCAAACTTATATAAATCTCAAAAATGTATATCCCAAATAACTTGTTCAATATTCTTATTGGCATAATTTGTAAGATATCATATACATCTTATATAATTGATATATTTATATATATATATATATATGTATGCATGTCACAAAATTTTAAAATAAGAATATTATATATATATATGTATATATAGACAGAGAGATTTATATATTTAAGAGATATTCCCCAAAAAAAAAAAAAATTCAGCATTTAATTGGAGAAACCAAAAAAAGAAAGAGTCCAAGGCCAAAAAGATGTCTTTACGTTGTCTAATAGAAACAATAAAAGAGTCCAAATCCTTTATTCAAGAATATATCATTTACATGTGGACTAAAAATAATACGAGAAATAGAATGGAATATATCATGTAATTTTTTTAATAAAAAAAAATATTAAGCGAGCGAAGATGTTGTGAATAGCGGTTCAAACTCTGTATATATATATATATCTATATATATATATATATCTATATATATATAATCCCATAGATCCATAGTTGTATTCTCAGAGAAACACCCAGAAACAGCAATGGCTTCCACAAGTTTTTTTCTGATACTTCTCGTGTCGTGTGTCTGTGTTTCATATGCTAACGAGTTGCCAAAACAGCAAGCAGAGAGGTTGATAAGATCGCTCAACTTGTTCCCCAAACATTCCATTAACACCCACCTTGACGGCCTCCATGAATCCTCAATATTCAACACTTCACAGATTGTTGAGAAGCAATTCATGTTGCCTGCTGTTGGCCAACCAGGAGCTTCCATTAAAGACCTTGGCCACCATGCTGGTTACTACACCCTCCCACATTCCAAGGATGCAAGGTCACTATATATATATATACATGTATTTATGCTTCTTATATATTGAAACCGCTGGTTAAATTAAGCTGACGAGAAATTTGCAGAATGTTCTATTTCTTCTTTGAGTCCCGGACGAACAAGAGTAATCCTGTGGTGATATGGCTGACTGGTGGACCCGGATGCAGCAGTGAATTGGCGTTATTCTATGAGAATGGACCTTTTCATATTACTGACAACTTAACTCTCGCTTGGAATGACTATGGCTGGGATAAGGTGCTTATACATATGTATATATATTCGTTTAATATAAGTTGATTGTTATTTACCACTGTAAATATCTTCTCTGCTCTACAGTGATGAGTGCAGAAAAAGTTTGAACTTTTTCTTCATACAAATGTGCCTCATAAACTTTCTCTATTTTTAGTCTCAGATATAATCCACTTTCGTTGTTATTGTTTTTGTTATTATCTGGCAGGCATCCAATATCTTATTCGTGGATCAGCCAGTTGGAACTGGTTTCAGTTATACAAAAAATGAAAGTGCTATTCCTCATGACGAGACGGGTGTAAGCAATGATTTGTATGATTTCTTACAGGTCTGCTTTCTTTCCGAATTATGTTTTTGTGAACTTCAAATTAAATAATTGAATTTGAAACTTAAATTGCACTGGTTTCTGCATCTACAATATCAGGCCTTTTTCAAGCAGCATTCTCAGTTTGCCAAAAATGATTTCTACATAACTGGGGAGTCTTATGCTGGACATTATATTCCTGCTTTGGCTTCACGAATTCAAAAAGGAAACAAAGCAAAGGAAGGAATTCATATTAACCTCAAGGTAACCTTGAAACTCTTAATTTTGATTTAGCTGTTATAGTTTAAGTATTGGATTAAGATTAGTAACTAACCCTCAAGTTTTTTAACAGGGACTTGCCATCGGCAACGGTCTTACTAATCCTGAAGTCCAGTATCCAGCCTATACTGATTATGCTTTAAACATGAGCTTAATTAAAAAGTCTGATTATGACCGTATTAACGAGATTGTTCCATCATGTGTAGACTCAATAAAAGCTTGTGGTAATTCTCAGTATACCCTTAGAGGTCCATTCTCTTTCATTTCAACTCAAAGTTTGTCGGAAATTATTTGAAACTTGTCTCCTTCTCAGGCACCAAAGGGGGAGATGCCTGTATCAGTTCATATAATACTTGCAATCAAATATTCGAGGAGATCTTGGCCATTGTAGGCTCCATAAATGTAAGAAATTCAAAAGAAATCTTCAGAATCATGGGTAATAACAAACAAGTTTTCTAAATTTGACGACAACTTGTTTGTGACTTAAATCTGCAGTACTACGACATTAGAAAGGAATGTGAAGGAAGCTTGTGCTATGATTTCTCAAATGTGGAGACACTTTTGAATGATAAACAAGTTAGGAGTGCCTTGGGAGTTGGGAACATTGAGTTTGTTTCCTGCAGCATGGATGTATACAATGCCATGATGACAGACTGGATGAAGAATCTTGAAGTGGGAATTCCAGCTCTTCTTGAGGATGGTATCGAAGCTCTTCTATATGCTGGCGAATACGATCTTATCTGCAACTGGCTTGGTAAAACCTGTTGGTTCAATTGAAAAGCATGCAGTTTATACTTGATGTTGAAGAGAGATGCATATAAATTAACATTTGCTGTAACTTGCCAAAAATAATTCACCTTTTGCAGGAAATTCCAAGTGGGTTCATGCCATGCAATGGTCCGGCCAGAAAGACTTTGGAGCAGCGCCTACAGTTAAATTTATGGTTGATGGAAAAGAGGCAGGATTGCTGAAAAGCCATGGCCCTCTCAGTTTCCTCAAGGTAAGAATTGTGTGGGCGCACAGGCATGTGTCCGAGTGTTCCAAACATACCAATCTTGTTAACTTTCTTTGCAATTTGGAATATAGGTCCACAATGCCGGTCACATGGTTCCAATGGATCAACCAAAAGCTTCACTGCAGATGTTGACCAGCTGGATGCAAGGGAAACTAGCCATGACTCCAAGACAAGGCATGTTCACGTCCTAGAGCTGGTATATGCCACTATTGTTTACGGAAGATTCACAGATAAAACAGGGGATTATGAACGGATGATGATTTACATATTGAGATGAGTAATAGTTTCAGAATAAACTCAATGGCCAATGCTTGTAAATCTTCACATCTTTGGCTGATGGAATATCAATCTCCATAAAAAGTTGCATGATATTAATCGAGATTATTTGATGTGCTCGCGGTTATCGCCAGACCTGAAGAAAAGTGTTAATTTATAATTATAATTGATCTAATAATTTGGTCATATATAAGCTCACCTAGTAATTAGTGAACAATTCTAGAAATCACGCCACAAGTTTGTTAACCTATTGCAACCATATCTGAACCCAAAAAAAGAACAAACTAGATCAACAATATACACAGGAGAACAGGATGCAATAGTCTAGATTTCTGTATTTCTGTGCATTAGTATTTGTTGGATTATCTAAGAAAAAGCATGCAGTATTGTTGAGTATTATATTTATGATCAGCAAAATTGCGCTTGAAGAAGTGTGGAAGATTCATATCTCAAATAATATAAACGGATATTTCACCAAATAAAAATCTAGCACAAACATGCAACTCAGAGGACTTGTACAACCATTCCTTTGTACGGCATTGATAATTTAACAATGGGAAATAACAGCTTCCAAAGGGAACAGTCTTTCTTTTCCAACTCCCCTCTTACATCGTTAAAACTCAGTACAAACACCAAATAAAATCTTATAAATTAATAAGACTAGAAGCGACAGTATGTAGGCAACTAATACCAATATTGGAGCCAACAGAAGCTTCCTGATTCTTGGCATTGGACAGATCCTCAATGAGTAGCATGAGCTATGGAGCTCTTTGTCCATAATATTCTCTCAAAGTCACTATCGCTGGCTGAAAGCCAGACCTCAATGGAACAATTGATGATACTCTCAAATGCTGTGCATTACCATTCCTGGGTTTAGTCAAGGTAATCCTAATCATCTCTCCTTCCAAAATCTGGCCAGCAGTAACAGCTACATAAGACATGCCAGAAGTAAAAACTTCAATTTTATCTCCAAGTGAAGAATAATAAATTTGACTGACTTCTAGTACTCACTCATTCACAACAGAAAGCAAATTGATTCCTTTAATATTTTGAAGAAAAAGAAGCCCAATTCATTTACCAAGGGGAAGTTAAAGCTGAACCTAAGCATTAAGCATTAAGCATCAACATTATACCCCACAAAGAGCATCAAGATTCAGTCTCAAAACTTGAAAATTGAAAAGTTAGATTCCTGAAAACGTGCAGTGTTAACCATTTACCTTTTATGCCAACAAGTAGGGAAAAAATATCTCACATTATTTTCAATAATGAAATCTTGTACAAAATCAATCTTTGAATATCTGATGATTCATAGTTTTAATTATTAGGGATTTAATTGAATAATATACTCACAATGTACATCATTTACACGTGTCCACACTATTTAAATTGAATTTGAATATTGAATATTTAGTAAATCGCATTCTATGGAAATAGCCGCTACAATCCAAACATGGTATGCAAATTTCTAATAATTATGTTTTCATTGCCCTTGATTTTTCAAAGAAACTAGCCACTGAAAAATTTCACAGTCACAGTTTAAATTTTAACAATATCTTTTTAATTCAAATTCCTTATTCGTACTTGCTGTTGGAGGAATTCTCGAAAAGTGAAAAAACTAGATAAAGTATTTGATCTAGATACCAATTGACAAAAATAAAGTAGCCATTAGAAATTATTTTCGCTTGTGTCTTAAGTTGCTTGAAGAAATGGAAAGAGGTTGAGGAATTAATTCTCGGTTTCATTTTTCCATATCTTAAGGTCTCATCTTCCTATGGGCCTTTGGCTAGAAGAACACAAGCTTTCATAGAGAGAAAAATGTGTTTGAAGATGAAAAAAAGTTTTAGCACCAAAATTTGTGTATTCAACCAAAGTGTAGTTAACTTTCTCTCTACAAAAATTGGTGTTTGTGAATCTCTTCAGTAAGAGATAATTGTAAAACTAAAGATGGTGGTCACCAAGCTTAAGAGGAGTTTATTTGGTCATGCTTTACTAGTTAAAAAGGCACGAGGAGTTTGGTTACACTTGAAATCTGAAAACACAAACAGTCTTCTATCAGATTTTAAAATCCTTAACTAGAAGTAGCCAAGTTAGTGGATGTAGCTTAGTTAGGAACAAACTGCTCTATGATCGGCATTGTTTTCTCAAATCCCTCTCCTTTTAATTTTTAGTTTTGTCATTTATTTCTGTTATAATTTTGTAGATTACATATACTACTTGAAATTAACAATTTACCTACTTTTAATTTGTGCCTAACACTATATTCAAGGGTTTCCTGAAAATTCCAGGAGTTTCGTCTACCAAACAAACATTACATTCTCAAAATACTGATGGATGTTGAACAGGAAATATAATGAGAAAAGTGTGATTACCAGCCAAAGGATTGCGGTTTGCAAAGCGAAAAAACTCATCAGCAGAACAACCAAAGAGAACCCTAGCAGCCCTGTCAAAGCATACCACCGTTTTCACCTGTTTGTCCGTTGCTATAGAAACCTACCAGAAAACAAAGATCCAGAATTAAAAAAAAAATGAAATCCAAGAATCTAAGTCTCCCACAACTTGAAACCCAGCTCCTGGGACCCAGAACCAAGAATTTTCCCATGGAAAGTACTCATTTTCCAATGGCAGAAAATTTTCCCAGAAAATTAGCCAAACAATCAGAAAAGAGAAAAGAAGAGTAAAATAAAAGAGTGGGTTTTGCTTACAAGGAGGCGAAATAGACGTTTGTAAGGAGGAGAATGCGAGAAATTGAAGTTGCAGAATTTACAGATAGAAGAAAATTGATCATCAGTTTCAGGAAGAGTCCTCTCGCAACCAGAGCAGACCTTGTAACAAAAATTGGTGTGGTCAATGGCTAGGAGTGAGCACGTTACCGTTGTTGATTGATCCATTTCCGCTGGGTTTTTATCCTCATTCAATCTTTCTTTTCTTCTCCAATTTCTCCTTCACAGAGACCGAAGTTCTCTTTTTTTTTTTTTTCTTTTTCAGAACACAGGAACGAAAGTTCGAATTAAGCTTTTTGCCTCCTCTTGGATTTTTGTTTCTCAAATTCTTTGCTATAGACGACCGGGTTCGGGTCGGACTGGTTCCTTAAAAAAGAGAGGTTTGGATTCCGGGCCGAATCAGATTAGACCCGGTCTTGTGAAGTTACTGTAAAGTCTGGACTGGCCCAATTTGGACTTACTCTTTTACCTATAATTGTTTATATTATGATTCAATTTAATATACTAATTTCAAATACTAATATCATTGTTAAACAATAAATTAATCTTTTCTATTGGTAAAAATTAGGAATTTATATAAAAATAAAAAATTTTATAAATCTAAAAAGAAATATAAGAATATTCACCAAATTTGACGAGAGAAATTAAAAAATTTTGCAAGTTAAATGAATTTTTTTTTATTTAATATTACATATAATAAGATAAAAATAAATTAATAATTTAATTAAATATACAATTAAATTATTATATCATTATTATAGATTAATATATAATTTTTTAAAATATAATATAACTTGTCATTTCTATATTATGTCATTATCGTATAGTACTATACATTAATAAATTACTATAAAATTTACTCAAACAAAACATTAAGCTTAGCCAATGAACCTCTCAAAGCTCCTTTTCCGGTGTTGACCAAATTCTTTAAATATGCTTGAAATTTTATTTATTTAATTTTTCAGATAAATTTTCATAATTATTTTAAAAAATATTGATTTTTATAGTAATAATAATTTTAATAATTAATTATAATAAACAGTATATTTATTTAATAATTTTTATATTCCAATGTGCAGCACCATGGAGGCTCTTGCACAGGTCTCCATTGGTATTGTTTAAGCTTGAGAAAATAATAATGTGTCTATATTAATTGAAAATTCTTGTACCTTAAAAAGTAAAATCTTAGTTTTGAGATAAAAACTTGTGTACATGTTTTTATATGTATGTGTATAATTTAATATTTACAAAAGACATTATAGTAAGATATATATATATACACATATATTATCCTCAAAACCATTCCGTTTTAAAGAGTGAAAGAAATCTTTAGTTTAAAATGTAACGACCCCGAAAATTCAAAAGAACATGTATATAAAAATCTGAGTGCGGAAGCGAAATAAAAGATTTAGATTAATATCTCTTATACAATAACGTAAAAGTACTGAACAATATTAAAGAATAAGTTATCTAAAGGAAATAATAGAAATGAAAGAAGTATAAAGAAAACTATAAGACATCTAGCATCTACTCACCGTCTTTTTGTGGATCGGGCTCGGGAACCAGATCCTCCTGATCTGAAATGATTAAATAAGAAATGAGCTACACCACCCCAGTAAGGACATCACATTATTCACCATCACAGAAGCAAATGTTGGTAAAAAATTAAAACAACCAATGGAGCAGTAGATTTAAACCAATTCATTTATCAATAATCAAACCATTTACCGTCCACTTACCGCAGTGAGATTTATAAAAACAATTTATGAAAATAATAATATTATAAGTATCATGAATTCATATCTAATCTATAAAATAGCACATATCATACTTTTATATTCAAATCATCAAATAACAATTTCATCTTCTTATCAACCTACTAATATCCATGGGGATCCATAGAGTCCCCGCTACACGTGAGCAATTCCCCTTAACAAATTTAATTCCAGGGCCGTCCTCATACCCTATCCGGTATGGGCGTCAAAACAATAAATCTCAATACTCCGTCCGATATGAGGTTGAAGCGGGTCGTCTCCATACCTCGTTAGTATGAGCGCCAAAACATTAAAATCTTCATACCCCATCCGGTATGAGACAACGTTCACGGTAGGGTTTTCTATGAACACGGTCCGTCCACCATCTCCCAGAATATCTAGTGAGGCTGTCATCTTATCCATTTATCCAATCATACCCCTTTCCTATTTTTTCTTAGTCTTCGTTACCAATTCATACATGAATACTTAAACAAGTAACGTACATCCAACAAAGCAAGCATATCTTAGATTTTCAAAATCAAACAGTAGTGAAGTAAGTAGTGATTCATGCATTTAAAACCATATAATAAATAACCAGATACCATAATGCATTTAAACCGTAAAATAAATCAAACAGGAATTGACAGAGAAATATGTCCGGTTCGGGCTCCATTAGCAACCATAATTAATTATGCATATCTATTTAATTTGTACAAAATACAGTATTATTATTTATTCAGACTTCAATTCCATAATAAGAAATAAGGTGAGAAGTCCTTACAAGATTTGACACCAAACTCTAGATTTTCACTGCGCCTACGGGCGGTCCCTGGGTTCCCTGAATTTTTCATCAGGAACTGAAATGCACTTACAGTACTTACACATGTCCTAAATAACCCAAAAATCAGCTCAGGGCCTATTCGGCCAATTTCAAAATTCTGGCACGGCGGCTTTGCCGTACTCCGGGCGACGGTGCCGCCGCTCGCGGCGGCGATCCGCCTTGGGTTGGCTGTTTTCGGTCGTTTTCAGCCGAAATTAAGTCAAATTTACATCGGTTCCTATGAGAAAACAACCTTAGGGCCCTCGGTGGACCGAAAAAAAATACAAAAAATTGAAACTTACCGGCGGTGGGGCTCTCCAGTGCGGCGGCTCCTCCGGCTCACGTCGCAGTTTGGTGTTTTGCTCCGATCAACCTGTAGAGAAGGAAATGATGATCACAAAGGTGAAAAAATCACGTCGAACGGGAATCGGGAAGGGCCTCATCGGAGGCAAAAATCGAGGCACCCCACGACGGCATTTTCTGGTCAATTGGCCAGTGCTTTCGCTCCAATTTGGCCATAGGTGGGTTTAAAATCGAATTCCGAGCAAAGGATAAAATTTTTACCTCGTTTGGCGCCCGAAAATTGCTCCGGTACGGCGGCGGAGGGCGGCGGTCGGCTCCCTGGCGGCTGGGCTGTCTTCTCTGGCGAGGGGCTCTGGCTGCTAGAGTTTGGGTTTGAGTGCGAATGAGATTATTTATAACCATCCGTTCTTTATCTAAGCCGTCCATTGCATTTAATCTTGACCGTTCGATCGCGATTAAATAGGAAATGAATCTGAACCGTTCATCGTGATTAAATAGGAAATGAATCTGAACTGTTCATCGTGATTCAATTTGAACCATTCATCGCGATTCAATTTGGACCGTTAGTGCGTGATGAAATTTGGGTCGTTCGTGCGCGTTTTTGATCTGGACTATCCGTGTGTGCGAGAACGGATCTCAACCGTTCGATCGCACGTACGCGGATCACCCACGTGGTTCCCTTCCGCGTGGCCTCCCACGTCAGCGTCTCTGCCACGCGGCGCATCCTGGTTGGCCCGGGCTGCTGACCGGGCAGCTGATGTGGTGCAATTTTTTCTAAATTATATTTTGACCCCTGATTTTCGATTTTTTTTTTAAAATACTTTCAGAACCTAAATTTTCACTCATTTTTCTTAAAATTATTTTCAATTAAATCCTTAAATAAATTTTACCCCTTTTTATTAATATTTTTATTTTTATTTTTATTTGAATAATTTAAAATAAAATAAAATAAAATAATAATAATAATAATGAAATTAAAAAAAAAAATTTCTTGGGTGTTACATAAAATTTGTGGTAACTGAGATTTGACCTCCTCCTTAATACAAAATTTCTAATAAGGATACAAAATGGCATGATTAACTTCTTATTATTTATTTACATGATTATTGATTGTTTTTTTAATTTTTATAATAAAATTGTGTGTTTCCACGTGTTGTTATTAAAAATTATTTTATAATTGATATATATATATATATTATTTAACAAATAGTATATTTTGTTTATTAAAAAATCATCATCACATTAAATTTTTATTTATTCATATTACCTTTATTGATTGTTCTAGGTTATTTATTATTATTTTTTTTAAAAAATAATTGTTAATAATATTGTAACTTATAAGCCCAATCACACATAATGCATTGAAGCTATAATATTTTTATAATTATTATTTTATAATAAAAGCAAAATTTTTATTTGTTTTATCACACGTTATTGTAAATTAATGTTAATCGTGTGTGATAACATATCAAGAGTTATGCAAAAGTAATGCACTTGTAATGAGATAACAATAATAATACACATAAATTTTGAACATAATTCATGTATGTATCTTACTCATAAAATTGATGGTGCACGAACATCATTTAAACCATGACAGCACTATATTGTTGATATAATCAGGACAATTAACAACTAATCTTGTATTTTATCGATTAATAAAGACAACATATATAATATTTAAATGTTATATGTTCAATTTTTACTTATTTTAATTTAAATAAATTTTAATAAAGTAAGAAGAGGTGATCTAGAACCATATTTATAAAAAGATATAAAGGGTTAGGTGTATTTTATAAACTCTTATCTTAGTCTTTAAATGAAAATTTTTTATATTATAAATTTATATGTATATATTTCTTTTAAATTTAGTAAAATTAAAGTAGGACACGATTCTTAAATTTCCATTGAAATTGATAATGACCAATTAACAAAATTTAAAACAAGCTCTGGAGGAATATGTTGAAAGTAATAGGAGATGGGTATGAAATTTCATTTCTCGAATAACATTACTTTACAAAGAAAAGAAAAGAAAAGAAAAAGAAGAAAAGGAGAGTGGGACAAATGTTAGTACTCCCTCCCTTTCTTTATTGCAATGATGGTTGCCAACCAAATTATGCGATTATTAAACACTGTTATTATTTCCCTTCAATAACAAGCCAGACTTAAAATTTATCAACAAAAAATACGCCGCTAGAATAATTTAATATACGCATGCGTAATCAATAAGGTACATACATACATACATATATATTCATACATTTTTCTGTCTTTCAGTGGAGAATACTAACACGTGTGTGTGTGTATATATATATATATATATATATATATATATACAGAGAGAAGGAGAGAGAGCGTCTCAAAATAAAGAAAATTTAATGAAGAGAGAATTCAAATATTACATGCATTGATGGCCACCAAATGAAATGAATATGCATTTAGTTTTTTGTTGTCTTGTACTCATCTCATCATTTGGTGGGTGCTTCAATTGTTGGATGTTTTAAATTAATATTGTTTCTTCTTGGTTGCAACATATATAAATAATATATACAATTAAGAAGTCTTATAAGTATTCTGTTTTAAATTAATATTCTGTCTTTATGCTCATATATATATATATATATTTCAATTCATTGTTGAAGCTTAATAATGTGTAGTTTCCTTTTTCTTTTTCTTTTTTATTACCAAAAATGGTATTAGTAGAACTTCAAACTTCCTTTACATATATTATTCCAAAGTGCAATGGTTTTATTCTATTTTAATTCATAGACCAACTTTTATGCATTAAAGTAAAATTTGTCATAATACATATTTTTTTAATTTTTAACTTTTTAAAAAATTAAATAACATATTTAATTAAGTAGTCAAATTATTATTATTTTTCTCATAGATTTATATGGAATCCATAATCAAATGGTTACTCATTTCTGATAAGAAATAAGTAAATTAATGAGTTAAAATTTGTAAATTTAAGAGATTAAATAAATTTTTTATAATTGATTTAAAGATTAAAAGTCTTGTACTTATCCACATATCTCTTATATTCACATTTAGTATTTCAAATGAACATTCAATGATGTTTTTATATACCATCTCCTTATATATTCAGGTTTAATTTTAATTTAATGATGAACAAGAGTAAAAAATACACTATGTTTTAACCAATAAAATATATATTTTTGAGAGAGAAAAATTTTACAATTTATTATATAAAATATATTTTATTTTATTTTATAATTCATGTTTATTCAGATATTTATTTATAAAAATATACGATAATTGCACATTTATAAAAATAACCAAACTATAAATAATTTATATTTTAAAATTCCATCATTAATTTCACTGTCGATTTATTTGCTGATGACTAATTTGTATACTTCTCTATAACTAAAATATATATTTAAAAAATAAATATTAAAAAATTTCCATATACCAAACAGAAACTCTCTGTCTCTGTCTCTCTCTCTCTCTCTCTCTCTCTCTCTCTCTCTCTTATGAAGCATGACAATGGGGAATATGTACACATATATACTGTGCTTAATGTCAATTAAAGTGGAGATAGTGATCTTTTTCCTGTAATTAAATGGGTAAATAAAGTAAGAATTCCTTGGAGGCTGGAACTAAACCCATGAATTAAGAGAAAGGATCAGACAGAAGCAAGAAAAAAAGAAAAAAGAAAAGCCATGAAATGGAGGAAGACAATAAAACCCCGGCAAAAGTGGGTCAGGTCATCCACTTCTTTTATATGTAAACACAATATAATCATACTAATAATAATACTGTTTGCTTCTTCGTCTTTTAACCCTTCACTTGTCACTTCACTCCTCTGCAACAATCTCTCTCTCTCTCTCTCTCTCTCTCTCTCTCTCTCACACACACACACACACCCAGATCCAGGTTTGTCTTTCATCCCTTTTCTTCGTTATCATACTTTTGTTCATTTTAATTAGTTTTAGCTTGTTTAAGTAAGTGATTAACATTCTAGCTTTTGATGGTGTCTGTTTGGGTGCTGGGAAACTTACAGAAAACAATTGTCAAGTTTTGAGCTTGGTGTTCACTGGGTACGTTAAGAAACGAAAGTCTAAACTTTAGGTGAGCTCTGGATACGCATTGGTTTCACTTTAATACTTTTGTTGCTATTTAAGTTTTCAAGCTTTGATTATTTTGCCATTTCTTGTATTTTTTTGCTTACTAAATTTACCCGGTTTAGTGAGTGGAAGCTTCTATTTCGGCAAGTTTACTGAATTTTCCCGAATGATTGATTATGCTGATGTGATTAGGTGGGTTTTAAGTTCCATTTTTAGGGTTTTCTTTCTACCTGTTTGTTTTACTACCCTCTCTTTGCTTCAGGGTAACAAGAATATATTAAGAAATTTTATATTTATGCAGCATTGGCATTTTCTTTTCCTGAAAGAGAAAACGAAGGGTAGGTATTAACAAGTTACTTAGGGGTTGCTAAGTAAAAAGGAACAGTTTGGAACTTAGTCAGAAGTCTTCAAGGTAGAGTGACGACCCTTAAACAAAATACAGAAGGGTCGGGAACCTGATCATTAGTACTACCAAAAGGGGAACAATTCTCCTAAACAATTCCTTCTGTTCCCCTAAATTAGCTTACCGCAGCATAGACAAGAGGGTGGTAGCATCAACTTCCTTGGCCTATTGAAAAGAATTAAGTGTAAAAAGGGGAAAAATCTGAAAGAAAATGAACAGGTGGACCGTCCAGATCAAAACCTTAAAATGAGGGGTCAAGATTTTTTCTATTTTAAAATTGGTTACTGTTGGAGACAGCTGGTGATCTCAGTAGATTTTAGAGACTACCTTCCCCCTTTTTCTTTTACTCTCCTGCATGTGTATAAATTTCCAATGCCTCCAACAATAAATGATGCAGAAAATTAAAGAGCATCAAATACTCTGTATTCACCCGGTTGGGTTTCTTTACATGGTATCAGAGCAGTGCCTGTGATAAGCACTGATTTCTCTGATTTCTACACCACACTATTACTCTACTAATCAATGACAAACCCTAATACAAATGTGTTGACACTCCTAAACTCAGATCAGTTTGGAATGCAACTTGTCACAACCACCCTTGATGGCTCCAACTACTTGTCTTGGAGCCGAACCATGGTGATTGTGTTGAGAGCCAAGGACAAGCTCGCTCTCGTTGATGGCAGATGCAAAAAGCCCGAACCTGATGCAGCAGAATATGAACAATGACACAAAACAGACAGCATGGTGGTGTTTGGATCCTAAACTCGATGAACAAAGAGCTCGCTAGCGTCTTCCTGTTCACTACATCAGCAAAAAACCTGTGGGATGAAATAAAAGAGAGGTATGGTGAAAGCAACGGGCCTCTGTTGTATCAATTAAAACATGAAATAAGTTCCATCACGCAATCTAAACTTTTTGTCACAACTTATTATACAAAACTCAAAAGGCTATGGAATGAGTTAACTCACCTAAGGCCTTCACCTGCTTGCATTTGCCATGCTGCAACACAACACAGTGAAGTAGACAATACCGACAACCTGATCCAAATTCTAATGGGTCTTAATGACTCATACGACCATGTCAGAAACCAAATATCGATCATGGAACCCTTACCCAGTGTGAATAGAGCTTATTTCATTGTGATTAGTGTTGAAAAACAAAGAGAAGTAGACAATATCAACTCACTTGAAGGAACGTCCGCTGCATTTTATACTAACCTGAAAGACAATCCAAAATTTTCAAACCGTTTAAAAGAAAAAGATAGCAGGACATGCACTTATTGTAGAAACACAGGGCACACGAAGGATATATGCTTCAAGCTCCATGGCTACCCAGAATGGTTTGCAGAACTCAAAGGAAAAATGAACAAAGAAAAAGCCAATGCAGTAGCAAACAATGCCCCCGATGGCACCAAAACAGAAGTATCCAACACAAACTAGGCCACAGAAATGGCCACACTCATACAACAAGAGATCATCAAGTACATGAAAAACCAAGGAGTAAACACGGCAGAATCGGCAGGATGCGTGGGCTACTCTGGCCCCACTGGTAAGCAACCTAAATGCTATCTTTTACATGCCTTTAATGATATAGAAACTTGGATAATAGACATAGGTGCCACATCACACATATGCCATGATTTTAAAATGCTTTCAAAATCTGTAAAACTAGAACCTAAAGTGCTTGTCTCACTACTAGACGGAACCACGATTCATTTAACCTACAAAGTAACCATAAAACTGTGTGATAATCTAATTCTGCAGGATGTTCTCTATATACCAAAATTTACTTGTAACTTTATTTCTGTCAGAAAGCTAATCCAAGTTTCAAATACCTATATTTCCTTTCATCCCAACCATTGTTTTGTGCATGATTTGATAACTAACAAAATATTAAGGAAGGGAACAATAATGAAGGGCCTGTACACACTGAGTGAAGAAATAGACTCTAACAAAGCATGCATCAGCCATACCCAAGAAAACACCCTACAATTATGGCACAAAAGACTCCGCCACACATCCACAAAAAAATTGATCCACATCCCCAGTCTAAAGTTTCTAGGCAGTGCAACTTTTTATGATTGTGAAATATGCCCCTTGACAAAACAATATTGTTTGTCTTTCCCTAAAAGTTTCATCAATGTCAGTGATATTTTTTGTTTAATACACGTTGACCTTTGGGGACTATATCCGATCAATTGTATTTTTGGTGTACTCTATTTTTTTAATTATAATTGATCATTTTTCAAGAGCCACTTGGACTTGTTTATTAAAAGGGAAAACGAGTGTATCAAATATCTTAAAATATTTTTGCAATCTAATACAAAACCAATTTCAGAAAACAATCAAAACAGTTAGGACAGACAATGGTACTGAGTTCATAAACGCCTCATGCAAAACTATTTTTCAAGAAAGGGGAATCATGCATAAAAAAAGCTGTACATATACACCACAACAAAATGGTGTGGTGGAAAGGAAACATAAACACCTACTGCAAATTGTTAGGACATTGATGTTTGAATCAAAATTACCAAAAAGGTTTTGGGACGAAGCCATACTCACAACCACACACATAATAAACGTTTTGCCAAGCTCAGTTTTAAAGTGGAAAACTCCTTATGAAATTTTGTACAAAAAACAGCAAGATTACTCAAATCTAAAAGTTTTCAGTTGTCTATTTTTTACTACAAATATTAACCCCCCAAAAGGACAAATTTAAACCTAGGGATTTGAAATGTGTTTTTTTAGGGTATGCACCCGATGCTAAGACCTGCAAATTATATGATATAATAAACAGAAAAACGATTTTGTCAAGGGATGTCATATTCCATGAACATATTCTCCCATACCCAACACCTTAAACCAGATTAACATGACACACTACTGCCAATACCAAGCATCGACACAGTAACCACACCTGAAAACCAGTTACAAAGAACAGAAGAAATTCCCTTACTAAACATCATTCCCCAA